GGGATGAGACTCAACTTCTACAAGACGAAACATGACGTGAGATTTGGCTCACGAGAACGAGACAAGACGAGATTTTGATATAATTTTTAATAAATGAATTGCGTCAATTCACAATTTTTGGTTTATTTCATTTTATAATTTTGCTGTCAGTGTGGTGCTGCTTTTTGGAGTTACAGCTTCTCAAGAGGAGTTACTCTGCACAGTCAACCCACTTTTGATCTCAGGCAAATGTAAAAATGAGATCTTGTTCCATCCCTAATGACTTAACGTGAACAGTAAATAAAGTAGATGTTTGAGAAGATGTACCTGGCCTCCATGACTGTGGCTGAGATCCTCCCTGTGCTTTCAAACAGAGACACGGCTTTCTCCACGTCCAGCTCCTCCTGACGCTGAGACTGAACAAACAACAACAAAACCTGAACTCTAATGCAGTTGTCAGTGTTTAATATCTCCGGCGGAAATGCAGAGAGAATGGAGGTTTAATGTAGGCTAATGCAGGCTAAAAGACTCCAGTAAAAATGTGATGGGACCTGTTCAGTTGGAGCTGCAGACACGTCCTCGTACAGACCCATGTCCTCCAGTGACTCCTGCACAAAGCAAAAGGTTCCACAGGGTTAGTTTAACAGTTTTCTGTAATATAGTGTAAAGATAATGGAGTAATAAATGTCAACAGTTCAGCCCAAAGTCTAAAAAAATCCAAATATTAAAGGCAGAGTTTAAAGCAGAGCTGAGGCTACTGGTCATTACTCAGCTTTAGTTAGGGATAACAAACGTATTTAAAGGTGCACTGTGTAACATTTTATTGTTGCGGGTCCCTCACCTGCTTCATTCTATGAACATCTCAAATGTTACACAGTTTGGCATTAAAATGCTACAGGTTAGAGGTGGTTTTACAGCTCAGAAAACAAGCAAGACCTAAAATTGTCTCAGTGTTTTAACTTAAGCTTCCGTTGTCCTTCCATCTTTTTCCTCTTCTCTGGGGTCGGGTCACGGAGGCGTCAGTCTGAGCAGGGAGGCCGAGACTTCCCTTTCCAGGCACACTTCCTCCAGCTCCTCCGGGGGACCCTGAGGTGTTCCCAGGCCAGTCCAGAGACATAGTCCCTCCAGTGTGTTCTCCTGTCCACGTGGAGGAGCAGCGGCTCTACTCCGAGCTCCTCACTCTGTCTCTAAGGGAGCGCCCGGCCGCCCTGCGGAGGAAACTCATTTGTGCCGCTTGTATCGGAGATCTCGTCCTTTCGGTCTTTACCCAGAGCTCAAAATTCAAATAAATTCCATGAAATTCAATTAGTTGTGTTTTTATTTTATTAGTTAATTCATATATATTTGCTGAGTTTTCCAAGTCTATGGGGAAAATGTGCAGGACTCTGAACTGGGCTCTATGGCTCTATTAAATTTGAATATATGTTATGACGTTCTTTCTTCAGACCAAGAGTTTGTTCTAAAAAATGAACCTAATGACTATGAAATAATTATCAGAAGACCAAATGAACACCATTGGACATATTTGTATATAGTCTTAATAGTTGGTGTAACAGTTTGTGTAAATTGTTTACTTTGAGGTCAGAGAGCCTGGTTTTGGCCAAAGACACGTACTCCTGCAGCAGACTGCGATGCTTCAGTGGAACAAATGGAGGATGGAGCAAGTGAACCTGCAGAGAACAAAACACAGAAGGAACCAAATATAACTCAAGTTAAACACAGAACTTAAACAGTAAAAATCTCAACTCCACTAAATCACAACTTTTATTTTAGACTTTTCTCCATGTTCTAGTCGTTTCTCCTCTCTGACCCTCTGAACTTTATTTGGACTGATTCATGTTTGAGGAAACTAATCTTTCTCTTATTTTCAAGATTCCATTTTGTCACTCTCCCCCCGTTTTCAGCTCCACCGGTACAAGCCCACTGTGACGTACGCGCCCGCCGTGACGTACGTACGCGCCCGCCGTGACGTACGTACGCGCCCGCCGTGTGACGTACGTACGCCGCCGCGTGAGTACGTACGTACGCGCCGCCGTGACCGTGACACGCCCACTGTGACGTCTGCTCGTCCTTCTCCAGTTTGATGTTCTTCATTTTGGTCCAAATGTTAAAAAAAAATGCTCTAGTGTGAGGTGCAGCAGGAGGAGGCACCACAGCCTGGTTTTAGTCCTGGCTTAGTCGTGGCTTAGTCGTGGCTTAGTCGTGGCTTAGTCCATTGGACTCCACAGTTTTCTAACGCCGAAGTCGTCTCACTTGTTTCTTCTGTAACGTTGTTTCAGATCAATATTGAGATTTAAAATGTCACAGTTAAAACAGAGTGATCCCCGGGGTCAGAGGTCAGAGGTGTAGAGACACAGGGTCACATGACTGTTACCTTCAGATACTGGGGGGGTTCAAAGGGCACCAGGTCAGACAGGAACTTCAGCAGAAACACCAGAGCTTTTTTACTGGAGGCGTGAGGGCTGCTGCTCGCCCCAAAACACCTCTGAAAGAACAACACAGGTGACAGAACATCACAGCGTTTCTGCTAATGCTATTTTAAAGAAAGAATTGAATTGACTCTTGTGAGCGTTTAGTGATGTTATAATGTTGTTACCTTCACAAAAACAGACCTGGAGTTGTGTTTTCAAACAGGAGGAAGCTTTAGAGATGTAAACAGACTAATAATAAAGAGTTACTCAAACGTGTGAATGAAACGAACAGAACTCCAGTCTGTGAGAAGGGAACAACATTAAAACATGATTTAAAGCTCACAGGAGTCAGTTCTGTGTAATAAAGGACCTTTAATTATATTTGTATTAACCTTGAACCAGTCGCTGTAGGAGGGGAACACCGCAGGTCCTTCCAGAGCTCCTTGTCGTGCCAGTAAAAAGGCCGTGATGACGCTCTCCAGATCGTAACTCTGAAAAGCAGCTCTCAACAAAACATCCAACAGCTCTGACAAAAACACAAACACAACCTGGTCAAGATTTACTTAGATTTAATACCAGATGAGCTAGAACCACAAACAACAACAACATAACCCTAACCCTGAGAAAGAAAGTGGACTTTTACAGAATCACCAATCGAAGCTGCAAACTCTGACTTATCTCAGGTAAAAAGATCTATATTTTGTTCTGAATGCCCTCTGTGTTTGAGGGACACGAGATGATCCAACCACAGCTGCTCATTTGTATCACACGTTTGGGTGGAGAATTTTCACGCTCATTGGTCCAGTTCCAGACTCTTCTGGATTTAAACAGAACGTAAAAGGGACCGGCTGCTCAGGCTACAGAGTAACAACAATGTCTGACCTGAGAGAGTTTTCCCTGTGACAGAGATTTACCTGTAAGAGAGTTCTGAGCAGAGGAGTTGTAAACCAGCACAGTGGAGAGGAAGCTGAGCACATGTCTCCAGTTGACTTCGTGAGTGGACAGAATCTGCTGCAGGTCAGAAAACAGCTGCTCGACGCTGAAGACCATGGAGAGCTAAAAACAGAAGAGGAACCATCACACATTAGATCATAAAAGGTTCAATATTACACAAAACTGACTCCTGTGAGATTTAAGTCACGTTCCTCCTCACAAACAGACCTGGAGTTGTGTTTTGTTTCATTCACACGTCTGAGTAACTCTTTGTCTACATCTCCAAACTCTAAATCAGGGGTCTCCAACCTGTAGCTCAGGAGTTACCAGTAGCTCTTCACCCTCTTCCAAGTAACTTGCCCTGGGATTTCTGAATTGCGCTGATCAATTAAACGCCCATTTCCTTTGTAAATGTATAATTTTGTGCACTGATAACTGGATAAAGGGTCAGGCTTTACAGACATTTAACTGTACCACGGCTCTTATATTTACAAAATTTCTGGCGACCGCTAAAATTAGCACCTCTCTGGCATTTTCATTTTACAAAAAGTAGCTCCCAGAAGGTAAAAGGTTGGAGGCCCCTGCTCTAAATGCTATGTTCCACCTTGTGATGTCATGAAGTGGTAGTTTTCAAGTGAACAGCTCCTTTTTCCAGACTGAAATGACCCAAATGATTTTAGTGAAGGTGTGTGGAGTTTAAAAACACAGTGGAGCAGACAGTGGAACCAAGTGTTTCCGTTTGAGAGAAGAACTCGTGCTAAAACTGCAGGTTTGTGTGTTAAACATGTGAATGAAACAAAACACAAGTCCAGGTCTGTGTGTGACGAGGAAACGACATCAGAGCAGAGAACAGAATCTCTTGCTTTATGGAGCCTTCAGTCTCAAGGTTTTTGGGAAAATATGAGGAAGATATTTTCAAATGGCATTTCAACACAGACAGGGATTGTGTTGTGTCTATTTGAACACACCACAGTAACACAACTGTACATGGACCAGTCTCCCTGAACATGAGACGAGCTTCTGCTCCGACTCTGTAAATCCACACTCAAAACGCTTCAGTTTATTTTGCACTCTTCTCTCTTAATTTTAATTTTATGATTTTTTTTAAAATTATTATTATTTTATCACTTTATTTTTATTGTATTTGACGAATTTGTAAACTTAACAAGAAAATAGAAAAAAGAGGAGAAATAATAATGACAATAAAAGGAAATAAAAACAGAAACAGAAGCCTAGGTGACACTTGAATATTCTACTTTTGCATATATAATGTCCATTTTTCCCATTTCTTCTTCATTTGTGCCTCTTGCAACCTCAGTCTATGAGTTATTTTCTCCATTAGATACACGTCTTTTATTGTAGACGTCCACTGATCCTTTGAAGGCACAGAAGTTGTGCCCCAGTTCCTGGTTATTGACTTTTTGGCAGCTAATGACATGACTTTGAAAAGATATATATCGCTTTGGTGAATAATGTTTTCTGAGAAGTTGCATAGATGGACCAGTTCAGGCGACAAAGGGACAGAACATCCCAGCACCTGCCCCAGAACATCACAAACCATCTCCCAAAATACAGTAATATTTGCACAATTCCAAAATATATGAGAATGGTCCACATGAATCTCTCCACATTTCTGCATTTGATGTATCCTTAACTGTTTACTCTTTAATTTAGGTGTAATAAAGAATCGAATCAGGTTCTTCCAGGCAAACTCCCTCCATGTTCGAGAGCCGGTGGTGGTGTGGTGATGCTGCCACATGTTTAACCAATCTTTATCTCCAATTTTTTAATTGTATGAATATTAATGTTTTGATTTGTTTGTTTTGTGAGTTTTATGTCTTTCTTATTCTGTCAAGGACTTTCATTACTTTGTGTACAAATTGTGCTGTACAAATAAACTTGCCTTGACTTATCAAGATAAAGAGGAACAAACTGAATATTGAAAATGGAGTTGCCACGGCAGTTTATTATCAATATTAAGATAAACTAACTGGATATGAGAGTTATGTAAGAGTTACCTGACAGAAGAGGTTTGTGAGGAGGGGGCTGGTTTTGGCAAAGGTCCACTGGTTCTGCAGCTCGATGGCAGAAGACACTGAAAGAAGGTGGAGATGTTAACACTGAGCTGAAGAGAGTGTATTTCATATGAAGCTGAACGTGGTCTTCACCTGTGAGCCGAGGCTGATACGTCAGTGTTTTTGTGAGGCAGTGTTTGAAGAACCTCCTGAGAGCTTCTGCAGACACCAGGGTCCCACACAGAGTCGAGTCCAGCAGCTCAATCCTGGATAAAACAATCAAATCAGGTTTAGAAAATTCAACTTAAACGAACAATCCATTTAAAATCAATAATTTAATCCACAGTTTTAGTTTCCTGTGGTTTTACAAACACACCCGGAGTTGTGTTTTGTTTCATTCACATGTTTAAACCCTGCACATTTAACACAAGTTTTTCTCTCAAACAGCTGTCAACACTCTGTTCCACCTTGTGATGTCATCATGTGGTGATACAGGAAGTGCTCTACTGTGTTTTTAAACTCCACACACCTTCACTAGAATCACCTGGATCATTTCAGTCGTGGAGTTGCTGATCTCAACTGAACTGAAGGGAAAAGGGGCTGAGAACTTAGAAACTACCACTTCATGACATCACAAGCTGGAACAGTTTTGGAGATGCAGACAGACTAATAATAAAGAGTTACTCAAACATGTGTGAAAGAAGCAAAACTAGGATGACCAGATTTTCAGAATTCCAGCCGGGTTTGGATGTTTGGTGTAAATAAAACAGTGAAAATAGTGTGGAACATTGTGCATTCTCGTGTCAGAATCTGAGGGACATTTTTGTGTTTTATGGTCATTCACAAACACATTTTTCTGTATTTTGGCAAAACAAATGACAATTTTTGCTCCTCTTTACTGTTGGGAGGATCAGACTTTACAAGAATTGTGATGGTCCTGGCTTAGTCCTGGTTTAACTCAGATTGGTCTAAAATAGGGACACTGTAACAACCGTATATGTTCTATTGGTCTAAATGGGCTGTGAAATACAACTATGGCCTAAAACTAAAACTGACTTATATATATATATATATATATATATATATATATATATAGTTTTAGTTTGAATGAAAATTGTAAAAAAAACACAAGCTTTAACCATGTCTGTGCCCCCGTTGCCGGTGATGATGAGGTCTCATTTTTCTCGACCGCCTCCAGAAGCCCTGAAAACAGATTCTTTGAGTTTATGCTGCTTTAAAGGTGCACTGTGTAACATTTTAGAGGGATCCCCTGCTTGTATCCATGGAGAAGTCATTGTATTGCTGGTAATGTTCCATGGTATGGCATTAAACAGCTCCATCTAGCATTTATTCATTCCAGGAGTTTCTATTGCTCAAAAATACAATGATTCCTTCTGTGACCTGCTTGTTTCCATGGGGAGGTTATTTCCATTTATTCAAATACAGGGAATTTTATTATCTTGAAAAACATGTTTTCTTACTGAGAGAAGAGTCACTTCTGACCTGAACTGATCTGAAAGACCGTTCTTTTTAAGGAAAATTAATTCTTTTATCATCAGTAATGTTCTTATGAGCCTTTTTCATCAGTTTTATTGAATCTGTTCTTGCATGTGGGATCGTCTGTTGGTTCAGTGTGTGTGTGTGTGTGTGGGTGTGTGTGTGTCTGTGTGTGTGTATCTGACTCTGCTGCACAACTATTTCCCTCTGGGACAATACAAAAGTTGAAAGGTGAAACCTGTTCGACTCCATGGAGACTGAGCAGACGAGCTTCTATGAGAAAAGTTCCACAGTGCACCTTAAAGTGATTAGACTGTGCGTTGTTTGTGTAGTTTGTGTAGTTTGTGCAGTTTGTGTAGTTTGTGACTCACAGAAGAGCGTTTGGTCCAGGACAGAGCTGCAGACTCCACACAGTCTTTTGTTCAGAGATGTTCCCTCCTCACTGACTTCAAACCCAGAGCCCACCAACACCTGCAGCACCACTGAAAAACACAGAATCCAGATTCCTAAAACAGTTGAGAACTCCTCAGAGACCACAGACAGGTGACAGGTGCGACAGGTGCGACAGGTGTGAGGAGCACATACAGGTCAGGACTTGCTCTTGGACCTGCTTATGGTCATCTCCAGGACTCCAGCTGCACAGGGTCTTCAACTCTGACACCAACCAGGACCTGACTCCAGGACTGCACAAAAACACACAAAACCACACAAAAACACACACGCAGAAAAGCACACACACGTTAAATACAGCACAGTAGGTCATGTTTACTCTGAGTCAATATTCCAGAGTGCAGAAGCAAACATACAGTAAGAAGAGAGAAAGTTGGAAAACATGCTTCCTGCTGCTTTTCCCACATGCTGCTGTGGACACACTGAAGTGGAATTGTTGCAGTAGTGACGCAACCATTATTTTTCAAGCGTCCCACTACTTAATTTTTTTTTCATTGTTAGAGTAGATGTACTTCCTCCTTTTTTCTACTTATTTAGAATTGACTTTTTTTGTTTTGTTTTTTTGTCCCAATAATTTCCTTGTGCATCAGTAAAGTTTGTCTAAGTAATTTTATATTGGTATGGGAATGTATTAAACAGTATGAAGACAGAACACTGGAGTTTACACAAAAATGGTACAAAATTGTCAAATATTCGTAACAAACCTTTCCAAAATGTCCTGCAGAGAGACGATGTTGTACGAATGAAGATGGAAAACCACCTCCAACTTTGGGAATTTCTATTAAAACAAAAAACAACAACAAACAGTAACACAACATGAAAACAAAGAACTTTGCAGAATATTCAACCACGTATAAATAAGTATTTTATTTCTAACTCACCTCTTCTCTGGTGAGCTCCTTCCAGAGCAGTTTGGGACACAGCGCCCCCTGGGACAGCAGCTCCCGACTCGACTCCAGCAGACCGCAGAGCTGGGCCTGCAGAGACACACGTTTAACATCTGACCCGGACACAGCCGTGTTTAACATAAGACCCAGTTTTACACAGCAGGGGGTCATATATGTGGAAATATGTGGTCACAGTCATGTAAATCTGTGCAAAAAAAAAAGGAGAATCTGAACTCACTGATTTAACAACAATAAAAACACATTCTACCTCATTATTCCCAGAAATCGTCTCTGCCCCGTTTGACCCGGTGAGCCACGGTGAACAGAACAGTGAAAGTTCAGTTCCAGACACTGACCCGGTCCGGAGACGTCAGCAGCTCCTCGTTAGCTCGTAGCCTCGTTAGCTTCTTCAGTCTTTGCACAAACACGCCCACCGTCACCGTCGTCAGGGCAACGCGGCGGCGCTCAGACTCACGCTTCAGCTCACCCACTGTAAACACAAATATAAGAAATGACAAGAAGATTCTATTGCAGCCAAAATGTTAGAGCCCGTCCCGGATCCTCCCAGAAAAACCCAGTGAGTCTCCTGGTTTTCATCACAGAGACACTGGTTCATCCAGGAGACTGAAAAACTGCATCTACACCAACACTCACAAAACCAAGAGACTCAAAAAACCCGATCAGAACTGGGAAACTCGAGTACACGTGAGTTCTTACTCAGAAGAGACGCAGACAGAGTCGAGGGGACGAGAGGTTCTGTGGAGCCGCTGAGAGACGAGGAACTCTGAAAGAAAAAAAACATCCTGGTGACTAAAAAAGAGAAAGTTGCTGCAGTAACTTCTGCTGGAGGATCTGTCAAATGCTTTTCTTCATGGAGATGTTGTTGCTTTCTGGTCAGATTGTGTTAAAATAAAACTCAGGTTAAAGTCTAAGAAAGCCTCAGACAGAGCAGTGCCTACAGTTAGCATCACACCCCCAGGGAATGTGGATGACAGTGTGTCCCTGAAACAGTCCTATGAGATGTTACACTGAGTCAGACCTCTGTGAGCAGATCTTCCACGTTCTGGTTCTGCAGCAGGAACCTGAGCGCCGCCTCCTGCACAGAACCTCCACACTTTGGTCTCTTCACCTCTCGACCCACTGTGGACCACAAAAACAAACATCATTTAATCTTCATAACATGTTTAAACTTAAAATGTTTCAGTGTCCAGCAGGTGCTACAGCCAAATTAAACATTCTGAGAAGATAAACAGAACAGGTAAAGATAATCACAGCTGCCCCCTGATGATTGAGCGTCTCAGTGACGTCAAGGTTTGATTGGTTCATTTTTGTTTTAAACTGAATGAAGAAAAGGCTCAGGTCAAGTCGCTTGGATCTGGATCGTTTGGCTCTTGTAGCTCACGTCCGTCCCGCCGTCACCAGCCTCGGCGTCACTTTAGACACTCATCTTTAATTTGAAAAGCAGATAAACAGCTTCTTAAAAATCTAGTTTTTATCATTTGTAGATTTTATCTAAAGTCTTTTTAATTTTTAAGACTAAAACAGGACTATCACAGTTTTACAGTAATCTGATCCTGCCAACAATAAAGAGGAGCAGAAACTGTCATTTGTTTTGCCAAGATACAGAAATCTGTGTTTGCAAATGACCATAAAACAAAAAAGCAACAACAAGAAACAAGCAGCCACAGAAATCCTGTTCCTCAGATTATGACATGAGAATCCACAATGTTCCTCGCTCTTTTTCCTGTTTTATTTATATTTATATCAAACATCCAAACCCTCATAGTTTGGATTTTTTAAATCTGGTCCCCTACACTAATGTGAGTCAGTATAGTCACATTTTCTTTGTGTTTTGTCGTTTTTAAGCAGCTTTTCGGCATTTTACCTAAACAGATGACAGTTTTTGTCTCTTTACTGTTGCAGGATCAGATTGGTCCAAAATAGAGACACTGGGACATTTCTTGTATAAAAATCAGTGGTTTTGTATAAAACTGCAGGGACAGGGGGCACAGGCTCAAAAGTGGGACTGGAAAGATGTTAAATAAAGAGTCTGGACTCTGTTAATGTCAGAGTCTGTGTGTAATACAAACAGTTTGATCCTTGCGCCTGTAAACTGGAAAAAACTCACCGAATAAACTGGACACGGGTCTTTTCTGCGGCACCAAACTGCCCGAAGCGCTGGGGCTGAGAGCCATGGCGCCACAGGACTAAAGTCATGCGGTTTTAATCTTACTTTAATCTTATTTTAATGGAAAAGCGCAGAAAAGTCCGGTGTTTGTGTCGCTGCTGTTGAGGCTGGCGCGCTCATGGCACTTTTCTTCTTCACAGGATCCTGTGGTGAGACTCAGACGCGCAGTGCGCCCCCTGTGTGTGCGGGGAGGTCAAGACCAGTCCTCAAAACATTTTATTTTCAGTATTTATTGTTATTTATTTATAGTTGATTCATGAGACAGGGACAGTGCACAATCTACATGAACCTTAACAGGAGAAAGACTTAACAGCTGTAGCGCTGGAGAACATTTCCACCTCGTCCCTGTGCAGGTTTTTAGGTTTTAAGTGATTGGTTTCAGTTTTGTTTTTCACTTCACGGACCCCAGAGCAGCGCGTGCACAAGGACCAGGGACAGACAGGACTCAGCATCTGGAGAAGATAATCTCTCCTGTACTTTGAATTACAACAATATTGTTGGATTATTTTTAAAATCCTGTTTTGCCTGTTTTTTGTTTGTTTGTTTGTTTTTTTTAAGCTGCCTAAGTCAAAGTAGAAAAATACCCAGGTGTTTCAGAGCGTGTGATTTGGGTCAGATTCTGTGGTCCTGTGTCCCTCTAGACCTGAGTCTGTTTGAGCTCAGTGAACCTTTCATTTATTTATTTATTTCATAAAGTATAAGAAGGTATTAACAGTGTCCTAATGTTAAACACACAAGAAATGAATGAAAAGGAGCAGAAAGAGTCATCTTCTGCTCCCTGCTCCTTTTCACTTTTGCAGACGACACATTCTCACTGAGAGTGACGACTGTGGCACGAACCGTTTATAGTAAATAAATAAAAAACATAAATAGTAACTCCACATTACACTGTGTTGTTTGGTTCATTTAAACTGAGCCAATAACTGGACCTGGAGATGAGCAGGGCCAAGTGTCTTGCCCAATGTGTCCAGATTTTCAAAATAAAAACTGGGATGTCCCTGGTTTTTGGAGGTTGGTGATAATAAAATTGTGAAACGAGTGTGTTTCCTTTAAGGAAAACTGTTGTGCACTTGGCTCGTATGTGAGTCAGTATAGTCACATTTTTTTGTGTTTTGTTTTTAAACAGATTTTCTGTATTTTACCAAAACAAATGTTAGTTTATGTCTCTTTCACTGTGGCAGGATCAGATTGGTCCAAAATAGAGACACCTGGGACATTCCTTGTACAAAACTGGGAGAAATCATTGGTTTTGTATAAATCTGCTGGGACAGGGGTTAAGGTAACTTTAACCCTAACGTCTGATCACCCTGGTCTTGCCCAAGGACACAACACCAGCATTCATCATTATAGGGCTTTATGTTGTTTCCATATCAGGGCCTCAAAATGTGCAGGTCAGAAAAGTTATCGCAGTGACTTAAACATTACAAAAGTATGAGATTATGTCCTTTATGAAATATTATCAGGTTAAACTGTGGAAACAGGAGGTGTGTCTGAAAACTGAGCTCAGAATCAGCTCCACTTTCTTTGTGAGGGGAAAGTTCTACTGTTACTGGGTGTGACTAAGTCTGTAAACCCTCAGGTTTCAACACACTGTTCTGTTTAAACAGAGAGGAAAGTGTGAAAGTGAAGGTACCACAGATAAACATGACACCACATGTTTAAAGAGATTATATTAGGCTGTTCTCTGGTCTCATTTCCTCATCAGACAGACCTGGAGTCGTTTGTTATTTAAAAAGATGATGCATGGACTGCTCCAAAACTCTTATTTCAAACACAAAAACACAAAAAGAAGACACTGACACACTGTGATGTCACAAGCTTTTATGATTCATGAAATCCTCCTCATGTTCAAGTACACGGATGCACGACACAGTCACCACACTGCCCACGACCCGCCATAAGACACTGATGCCGTAAACGTGGTACAAAACACTGGTACAAAAGTAATCTGGTACAAAAATATCTCTTAGACGTGTACTCAAGGTCCTCTAAAGAATCCATTTTAAAATCACATGTAAAACCGTCACAAAACGTCTGGAAATTTAAAGGCCTTTGGTCTCATGAAAACACACAGGAGTAAAACAGCTCCGCATTCAACAGTAAAGACGGCACAGGTGGGCACAGGTGGGCACAGCTGCATCAGCTGCAGCCTGGAGCAGAGAAGAGCTGCACGGCGGGCGCACGTGGCACTCTGGTCAGCAGGTGCACGTGGGCACAGGAGTCGCTCTGATTGGCTGCCGGGCGCAGGCAGGCGCAGGCAGGCGCAGGCGGTCAGGCGTCGCACTGACCGGCCGGCGGGCACAGGTGGTTCCGTACCAGGTGAAGCAGCACCAGCAGCAGCATCTCGGAGGTGCTGCTCAGAGCCACGATAAACGGCGCCTGAGACGCAAAGTCGGCCTCTGTGCGGCGAAACGAGAGCTGCATCACGGCCAGCGCCAACAAACTGTTCTGAACGCCCACCTCGATACTCACAGTCTTCCTCTGAGGAGGGTCAAGACCCGCCAACCGCGCCAACAGCGCCCCAACTGCCAGCCCCAGCACTGGCACCGTGACCCCCACCAGCACGATGTGCGGCCACACGTTGGCCAGGATGGACGCTCCCATCTGATAGGCCATAAAGACGCCCCCCACCATGAGCAGCACGCTCAGGGGGCGAATCAGCATCAGCAGGAGGCGGGTGAGGCCGGGCAGACGCAGTTTGACCAGGACGCCCAGAGAGATGGGGATGGCGATGAACAGAAGAGTGCCCAGGATCTTAACGAAGGGCACGTGGAGGGCGGCGTGGACCCCCAGCAGTCGCCCGTACAGAGCGGAGGACAAAGGCATGGCGCCCACCGCCACCACGGTGGACACCAGCGTCATGGAGATGGCCAGGGTGACGTCCCCGCCCAGCAGGAGGCTGTACAGGTACCCCCCTCCCCCGCCGGGCGCCGAGCAGGTGATGACCAGCCCCAGTGCCAGGGCTTTGGGCAGGCGGGCGAGCTGAGACACGCAGTACCCATACAGGGGCATCACCAGGAACTGCCCCAGGACCCCGAGCAGCAGAGGGACGGGTCTCCGGAGCAGCCCCCTCAGGACCTCCCCCTCCACCTTACACCCAAAGGCACATTTGTTCACGAAGATGACGGGCAGCAGGGCGAACAGCACCGGGTGCTCCGAGAAGTGGGACAGGCCCCCGGAGCGGATCAGGCGTGAGGCGGGGTCATCGCTCCAGGGCACCACGATGATGGAATAGTCCGTCCTCTCGGCCACGAGCGCCGGCGAGCCCGGCCCCTGTGCGCCCCGCCCCGGCGAGTCGGGCGGGTCCTGTGGCTCCCCCTCCTGGCGGAGAAGCTGGAGGTGCAGCTGGACGCGCCCGGGGAACCCAGAGCGGATACTGATGATGTAACTCTGAGAGCCCACAGACGCTCTGCTGAGGGACACGTTCAGGATGGACAGGACCTCAGGGTCCAGGGACTGGACTCTCAAAATCTGCCTGTGGCCTCTGGAGATGTTTGAGGAGCGGGTGGAGACCACGATGACACCTTTGGAGTTTTCAGGAAACTCAAACTCCAGAGAGGAGCCGTCTCCGATGGCGACGAAGGCCTCATCAGACTTCAGGTTTGTTTGGCTCCAGGGCGGCTCCACCGTCGACCTACAGAAAGACGACGGAATAACATCACAGACTCCAACATGTCAAGTTCAATATCACACAAACGGACTCTTATCAGCTTTAAGTCCCGTGATCATGTTCTAATGTTCTAATGTTCCGTCACACAGAGCTGGAGTCGTGTTTGTTTCATTCACATGTTTGAGTAACTACTTAGTATGAGTCTGTTTACATCTCCAAACACTCTGCTCCACCTTGTGATGTCATGAAGCAGAGGAAATGAAATCATCCAGATGATTCTAGTGAAGCGTATGAAGCTTATAAACACAATACACAACTTCCTCTTTTACCACATGACATCACAAGGTGGAACAACAGGGTTTTTCCGTTCGAGAGAAGAGCTCAGCCGAAATATAAAAAACTCAACTCCAGTTCTGTTTGAGGAAACGACATTTGACCAGATCAGAAAAGACCTGATGGGCCTTTTAACTAAAACAACACAGCCCAAAGCCTCAACACGTAACAGAGCTGAAATATATTTAGCTCAATAAAAATCTGCCTCTGGACTCGTGGGTGTGACTCAAATCTGCTTAATTACACATGAGCCTGAGCTAGAATTTGGCAAAAAGCATGAACCGGGAAACAACACGTAACAAAACACGAGCGGCCACATCTTTTTACGCACGCGACACATCCGTCTGTTCCATTTGTTGATCGGTTAATCGAACCCTGCTCAGACAAGGCCAGAATAAAAAATCATGCGTGTACAGAAGGAGAGAAGGAGGCCCACCGGCTGCTGTTGTCCGCGGTCCAGATGTTGGTGGCCCACGCCCGCGTCGCTCCGTGGGTGAACAGCACGACACAGCACAGCGTGAAAAACAGCCCCATCGTCCGCAGCCTCCTCCCGCGATCTACGCCCGCCGCACCGCCCGCTCCAGCGCCCGCACGAACCCACCAAACCCACGCGTGATCGGCTTCATTCTGTGCGCTCAGACCTTCGCACGGCGTCCGGAGCCGGCTTCCGTGCTGCGAGTTTGATTCCCATTTTGTGGCTCTTTATACCGGAACTTCCACATGAGCCCGCCCCGCGCTGTCATCCGCGCACACGCACAGCGCACACGCACACTCCCCCCGCCTCCCCCCGCCTCTGTCTGCTCCAAAATCAAACCTTTCGATCCGTGTGCAAATATAAAAACACGGACACGGAGGTTTGCGCGTTTGTCTGTTCGGTGGAGCGCGTGTGCGTGTGCGTGTGCGCCATGTGCTCTTTGGACTGGAGAAAAAACTGCGGCTCTTATTTCCGGTTCTGAAATGTCAGAATAAACCTGGGATGTTCAAACTATGGTCCGGGGGCCAAACGCGGCCCTCACAGGAGTATTTGTTACAGTGATCAGGTTTTCAAAAATAAAACACTGGGGCGTCTCTGGTTTGTGGAGGTTGGTGAGAATAAAATTGTGAAACGAGGGAAACTGTGAAGCAGAGACGTTCATGACTCTTGAACTCATGACATGAGTCATATAATCACATGTTTTGGTCATTTTTAAGCAGCTTTTCTGTATTTTATCAAAACAAATGACAGTATGTGTCTCTTTACTGTTGCAGGATCAGATTGGTCCAAAACAGACACACTGGGACATTTCTTGTATAAACTGGGACAAATCAGTGGTTTTATATAAATCTGTGGGACAGAGACACAGACTCAAAACTGGGACTGTCTCGGGGAAACAGGGACGTGTGGTCACCTTCCTCTCAGATGAGTATTTGTTTGAGTTGTAAAGTCAATATTCCAGCAAAATTCATAATGTTATGAGCTAAAATTAAATCCACTGCGTTGTGCCGCTGCTCTGCTTCTGTTTCAGATCCACATGAAAAACACACATGATTATTCTTATTACATGAGTATTACTTTTCTATAATCGTTGGGTTTGATGACATCGCAGCATTCTAAAGACCAGTGTTATTATAGATGGGAGGACCTCAAATTCATTTTGTTCAACTAGAGATTTTTGTTGTAATATATCGTGGTCTTCGGTCTAAACTTGAGTCAATAATAGAAATGATCAGGTTCCATATGTGGGAATTTACCTTTCCAATATTTCTTGGTAAAGTACATTATAATTAAATATAAAGGAAAAACTGTCTTTTGCCTCCATCTAAGAGTCTGACACCATCACATTCTAGAATCTGAAAAAACAAACAAAGAAACAAACTTCAATAATATAATAATAAAGAACACACATTAGAGTATTGTTCCAAAGTATGTTTTTAACTTTCTTTGGAACTCATGCAGGTCATATGACGACTCTAGAAAGTTACGTACTGTGTCTTTAAACGTCCCATATCACACTGTTCTGATCTGTTTTAATGTTGTTGTTTTTGTCACACACACACCTGGAGTTTTATTTCACTCACATGTTTAACACACAAACCTGCACATTTAGCAGGAGTTCTTCTCTAAAACTGAAAACACTCTATTGCACCTTGTGATGTCATCATGTGGTGATACAGGAAGTGCTCCACACACCTTCACTAGAATCATCTGGATCATTTCAGTCCTGGAGGGAAAAGGAGCTGTTCACTTGAAAACTACTGTAAGAGCCACAAGCCACAGGATGCACATTTTAAAAGGCATTTCTGACGACTGTTTCCAAATAAATGAGCTCAAAATTCCAGTAAAAGCTCAAATATTCCTTTACTGTAGCGTGAACACAGTCAAAAACTGTTCCTCATTACTTTGCAACACCTGGAATCGCTAATTATTTAGGTAGCAACCCACAGAAAACAAAGACATAAACAGTGGCAGGAGGTGCATTTTGGCCGCTACAACTACCACTTCATGACATCACGAGGTGGAACAGAGTGTTTGGAGCTTTGGAGATGTGGACAGACTCATAATAAAGAGTCACCTGTACATGTGAGAATGAAACAAAACACAACTCCAGCTGTTTTATGTGAGGAGAAAACATTAGAACATGACTTAAAACTCAAAGTCAGTTTTGTGTAACCTTTACATTTCTAAACATATTTATATTTTTATTCAGAACAACAAACATTTTATTATCTGAACTTTTTACATTGTCATGTTCAAAACAGAAGTACTGAGTGGAGTGTTGCAACGGTTCTTCCTGTGAAACGTGATGTGGCTAAAATAACAAACAGATGAGACAAAGATCTGAAAATCAACCGAAGCTTTAATGAAAAACATTCAAACACAGTCATGGTGAAAACAGCGAAATACACACCATCATCTCCACCCCTCGAATATCTCTATCATCTCTACCATCTCCACCATCTCCATCATCTCTACCATCTCCACTATCTCCATCATCTCCACCCCTCGAATATCTCCATCATCTCTACCATCTCCATCATCTCTATTATCTCTACCATCTCCACCATCTCCATCATCTCTACCATCTCCACCATCTCCATCATCTCTACCATCTCCACCCCTCGAATATCTCGAATATCTCCACCATCTCCACCATGACATTTGTTCATCTTGTTTTTTTCTGTAGTAAATAAACAATTTTACATTTTACATAAAACAGCTGAAAGGCCAAAGATGTGTCCAGTAGCATCCTGAGTCCGTTCAAACATAAAGCTGCACTGTGTAACTTTCTGTTTCGGAGGCCATCACCCGCTTGTTTCTATGGATACATAACTGCTCTCCCTGGAATGTTCCACAGTGTGACATTAAACAGCTCTAAGTTACATTCATTGAAGTTCAGGTGGTTTTAGAGCTCAAAAAAAAACCTAGAAAAGATCTGACCTGTCACTTGGTCTGGTTTGGACTCCGTGAAGATATATTTAAAGGTTTAAAGCCACACTGTGAAACATTCCAGACAAAGCGATAACATCTCCATGGAGGAAAGCCTTTGACAGACCCTCCACCAGAAAAGCTACAGAATACAGCTTTATTTAGACCAACAAGCGATTTGAAAAGAGCAGTTCTACAGTGTTCTCGAGGTTAGACTTGACGAGAGCAACAAGGTCAAATAAAACTCAGATTTAACGACAGGTTCAGTGTCTGTGAAGATCTGTGTAGAACTACAAAGTGCGGAATTGTCTTAAACTAAACTAAAATGGAGAAAGTTGAGTTTTGACCCTCGTTATGGCAGAACAAAGCAGCTTTCATTTTGTAAAACCAAGTATCTAGAGCTAAGCCCGTCACGATAATCACTACACCAACTTTGAATTCAATATATGAAAGACGGAATTATGCATTTAGGTAGTCAATATTTATCATGGGAACTTTTTCTTTGCAGTATTTGGAGATTTGTTGTGGTGGTCTGTGAAACATTTTCCACCAAAATAAATGTTTGTCTAGTTGACAAACTGAATAAAAAATACTACACGTGTTTGAGTAACACTTTATTATTATTAGTCTGTCTACATCTCCAAAGCTGTCGGAAATTTGTGGTTGTGTTTTGACAATACGAGAAGATTTAAGATTTAGAAGGTTGGATCAAAAACTTCTCGACTCATTACAGATGCAAACTCAGCACTAAAGAGCTTCATTCTGCTGTTTATTTATTTCTGTTGTATTTTTAAATAATATTTTAGATTTAAAAGTTTTTGTGTCATAAAGTAGTTTCGATATGATCATTTATCGTCTTTATTTTCTATTTAGCGATACATCGTGTTTCAGAGTGAGTTATCGTGACAGGCCTATTCAGAGCTCCTACATAAAAAATAAGGCCCCAAAGTAACAAAAAGGCAAAAATGGAGAAGCAACACAAACCACAGAAATACAAAAGGCTGGAGGAGGAGAGAGAAGTTAAAACAGAGTGAACTGGAAGCTCCTCGCTCTGTTTCCTGGATTCTGCGAGGTGATTATTGCCGTTACTGTTCACGACGAGTTCAGACGTGTTTTGAGAAGAAGGCAGTGTCTCTGTTCTCATTCACAGGCATGGGGCAAATCTCCTACCACAAGATCTAAAGACATAAGAGCTCATAACACAAGATCTCGAGAGACAACATTTCCACAAGATTTACGTACACATGAGAAACATTATCCTGTGAGATTTTTTTTTCAGTTTGTTTGCAAGAAAGGTTTCTGTGTTGATAAGTTACGTGTCTTCTAGTTCCAAAAAGAAGTACAAGAATGGAAACAAAAATATTATATTCATTAAATAAATACAAAATGTGAGGCCAAAATTTAGAATTTCTGAATTAGTATTGATCGTATCTCGTCTCGCAGAAACTGTGCTCTTCTTTTTAGTGTTGACAGACAGTTTGTGTTTACGGCAGCTCTGTAAACTACACCAAGATTCAAATTCAAACAGAAAAAAAGGATTGAAGAAACAGCTTTTTTGCATAAGATGTACCTCAGATGTTTCCAAATGATTTTAACTTCATGGAGTTTTTACAGAAAAAATAAATAAATGTAATTAGACTCTTGGAAACCCGAGGAAGCACCGTCTTTTGATGCTCGTCTCTAAACGCTTCAGAAGAATATTTATATATTGTTTTATAGTTACAGAGGTTAAATTATACATAGACCATGACTGCTCTGAACCACAGACTGTATAAAGAACTGGACAAGCGCTTGGCTCCAGTCAAATGAAGCTCACTGAGGCTTGCAGTATATTTAGAGCAAAATTAAAACCTCAGAACATAAGACCAAAACAGAGTCTGACAGCAGCAGTTACAGAAAGACGGGAGACAATTTTTCAATACAAAGTTATTTGGCGCCAGAATCAATGGAGCCAGAAGCGTACCCATGCTCACTTCCTGTTTGGAACACAGCAGCAAGTGGGTTAGGTATGTCCATTTATATAAACAGTCTGTGGTCTGAGCCAGTGTGAGTCTCCACTCCCTCCACACAGGCCACGTTTACATGATGTTTTTAATTCTGAATTAAATAGTTGTAAATTAAAATCTTCTCTTGTAGTTTCCATGTAAATAATAATGTTGAATTGTTGTTTCATGTTAAATGTTTTTTATTTAATGTGTCTGAGCGTCTGGGGGGGGGGGTTCTGATTGGACAGAGACACCAACGGATTTAAACACACACTTCAGCTGCTCCAGACTTTTCTGTCGTCTGGG